GAACTCCCCTGCCTAGGACCTCAGCCCTCGACTCAACTAATTTTGCATGGTCTTTTCCCCCTCCAGCTTTTTGTTTCCGACCCTTCTCCATCCCCTTCTACTATCTACTTCCTAAGGTGTAAGAGCCGTGCTGAAAAGATGAAAAGCTGACCTTGTGCCAGTCCTGAATGGCCTGCGGGAACCGTGGGCACAGTATTCCCCTGATTTAGTTGTCTAGCCCTTACCCCCTTAAGAGGCATTGAGGGGTGCACTGTTTATTTCTCCTACATAATCAAAGCTTCCCATGGCCAGTAATGAAGTAATACCCATATTAGAGGCAATGAGGCTTGCCCCTTCATCAAATAGCCCACCAATTTCATCTACCGGCTCTCCAACCCTAGGCTCTCTTTTTGACCACGACCCTGAATACAAACTACTATCCAGTCCTCATGCCTACTAGTGCATTACCCACCCAAACGCGACTCAGTCTCCAGAACACATTCCTACTCTCCCAACTTCAAACTTCATTACCTCTACCGCTACAACCTCCATCAAACACCCAACCTCCCTTTCAACTTTATTCTCTCCATCTCCGTAATACTACCCCCTCCACAACACTCCCTCTTACACACGTCCCCTCCCTCTACCACCATCAACCCCTACAAATATCATTATTTAGCCCAGCAAAATGGGGACCGATTTCTCGTGATTCCCCTTACAGCTCCTTACTCAGGCAACACTTCTTTTTCAACAATGCCTCCAAAAACAGGTGGGCAGAGTCCCTTTCCATACCAGACGCGATCGTTCCCGTCTCGTAACAGTCAGCGTCAGCTATAGCATTATCAAATCTAACTGATCACTCTCTGGCAACCCCATCCCTGCAGAACCTCATCCAACTCTTAATACTTGTACCGGAGCTGTCTCTATCTCCCGACAAACTGTCCAGTCGATACCAAAGATTGGTCATATTGTGGAGAAGACTTGCTCGGCTGCCTCAAAGACCAGGGCGTGATATCAGTACATTGCCAACTCCATTCCTCCTAGAGGTCATCGAAAGAAACCCACCAACATTGCCAAAATTCCTTTCAGTACACATGACCTTCCCGTTCGGATCTAAATTGGTGGACAATCCCTCCCTGTTCAACCATACCTTCCCGTCAATGTCAAAATTGTTGGCGAATTGGACATCCTGCCAAACACTGCCGCTCCAAGACCGATGCCCTTTATGTGCCCATGTCGGTCATAACAGATCAAACTGCCCTGTGCAAACACGCACATGTGCTAACTGCAGCGGCCCCATAATTTTATTTTATAGAGGCTGTCCCACTTACAAGTTCGAGTCTGAGGCAGCAGTCTCAGATACAAAAATGGTCTCACTCTACGTGAAGTCAGACAGGAACCACGCCGACATAGTTTCTCTTATATTCCCTACTCCAGTAATGTCGCTCGCTCTGCCCCTCCCCCTCCTCCTCAAGATGTTCCTATACCCACCCCTATACCTACTAACTTCCCCACTTCCACATTCTACCTACCCCAGTCAAATTCTTGTGCCACTCTAAATCCAGACACACCAATCTCGACTACAGCTTCAATACCGACCCCTCTCCCTCCCCGCACTACCCCAGCAGACAGACTAAACGCCCACCCACCCCTTCTCCTACTGCACACTCACCTCCACCTACCGTTGCCTTTATTCGTCAGACACCAGTCTCCTCTCCCCCCCCCTCATAAGAAAATCTTTGTCTCATAAAACTCTCCAACCAACTCCACTGCAGAAACTATGGAAGATATCCAGAACTATATGCTTGAGTCACAAAATTCCACGACTCATGTTCCCTGCCGATATCCATCCCCCTCCTACTCATATTCCCCCTAACCCCCCTACTCCCTCTCAACCCAGTCTCCCAATTCCGCATACTACCGATCCATCCTCCTGATACTACCAATATTAATCCAGCTCCTACTCCCTCCCAAGACAACTCATCCCTCAACACCAACTACTGCCGATATCCATCCTCCCGACACCTATCCACCTCCTCATATACCCCCTACACCACTCCCTCCTAACGCAATCCAGCCCCGTCAATTCCAACTATACGTACATTCTCCCTCCCTCCATCCCCTCTATCATTTCCACTCCCTCCTGGATACACACGTAAATCACTTATGTAATTCCCTTACATAAACCCTAAACTTCTTTATCTATCTTAACCTTTCAAGATCACTCTAGATAGATAGATAGATAGATAGATAATAGTTGACGCATACCAACTATCACCCTTCACCATTCCTTTAATATACTTTCCTATAGTGCTACATAAACTTAGGTGTCTAGCACATTTATTTTTGCTTTTTAACCATTAACCATTACTAACTAATATTGTTCAACGTTACACCCCATCTACAGCAGTCTCTCACTTTCCCGCTCAAATATATTCCCTGTTCTTACCCTCATAAGAAAACCTTTGTTTCTCAGACCTCCCCAATCAACGTCTTTGCTCTCATTTCCTCAATGCTCCAACTCCACTCCAGAAACTCTCGGACATTCAAAACTATCAAATTACGACCCAAGATATGGCTACACCTCATCCATCCCAACCTCTCTGCTCCCATTTCCTCAATGCTCAAAGTAATTGCTCACCCCTATCCTCTATCCACCACGTACCAATCTCCCCTGTTTCATCTGCATCAACCCCTCCCCTTGCTTCTCCTTTACCCCTTCCATTTTCCCTGGATACACATATGACTGTCACAACAACCCCCTAACAGGACTTGAAGTTCACAGAAATTCGCCTGCTAAACGGAAACACAAAACAGCCGTCGGAGGGTGACGTCTCAATGGATTTTTTTTTCTGTTGGGTGTATTTTTATTTTGTATGATTACAGATGATTTGATGTACATGAAAAGTATTTAAACCAATATTGAAGCATTTTCCCATGTTTACATAAATTAAACTTATAGATTGCTAAAACCATAATGGTATGAACCAATATGATGTGGCAGACTGAACATGAACAGAGCAGAAATTTCATTTGATGTCACTTCAGATGGGTCTTCCAGGAAGTCATAACCAAAGGCAGAGCCACAGTAAGTCGTCACTTCAGATGGGTCTTCCAGGAAGTCATAACCAAAGGCAGAGCCACAGTCCCATAGTGACCCTAACCTTTCAGCCATGCAACACACTGAATAACCTTATACTTTTTAGATAACTGGAATAGTCATCACCACAAGCAATCTGCCTGTTTTCGCTGCGCAATCTGTAACAGCTGGCAAAATTGTTTCCTCCATAACATCTATGTATATTTCTATTGTCGGGCGTTGGATCCATAAACTGCTGAGAGGCAATCACACTAGTTTCTTCTGACCAGGGATCCCTTTACAGAGCAGGTTACTTCTCCAGCTGTGAAAGGACCAGATAAACATTCGTTTGATCAAGGAATGCAAACACACCCACTCCAACAATGAAGACCCGGAGATAACTTCAGACATTATTTACGCCCTGGTGGACAAAGTGAGAACCAGATAACAATTGTGGAATACCATCTAAAAGCATTAAGACGGCAGAAATTTTGCGACAACTACTAGTATTTTGCTCTGACAGGTATAATCATACGACTAGCAAGGCTAATCAACAATTGTGGAATACCATCTAAAAGCATTAAGACGGCAGAAATTTTGCGACAACTACTAGTATTTTACTCCCAACTTCAATTTTTATCAGTCCATAATTACGTCTCGTGCACTACTGATTAGGCTACACCATAAGGGGCATATGCTATTGATTTTCAATTTCTGTTGAAATATGGTGTATCGGTGTAGCTGGTATGGTTGTATGATGTATGATAAGCAATAATGTGGGTAAGTTGGATTTTTGAAGTTTAGTGCCTTCTTTCTTGATTTTTTTCACTCAGTATGCAATTATATTTAAAGAATTCACTACTATCTTCGATGCACAATTCATCCAGGTTACTGTAGACACTTTGGTCTGTTACTGTAGACACTTTGGTCTATTCTGGGTCGAAGTTCCTCTGCAGCGAGAAGGGACACTGTATAATGTGACCAATCCGCTCTGTAGCTGACAGACATTCGGCATGGCTGTCCAGTGATCCATGACAGATAAGACTAATGTGACTGTTACTTCAGGCAAACATCCCCCTCCCCCCATCTGGCTCCTGTCCTCCATATTCGAGAAACTCTCATCTCTGTTCCTCTTCAAGTTACTACTGAACTGGTGCCTATTTCCACAAGGTCAGCAGGGCCTTTCTCTCCTTTGATCTTTGATGTTTAGAACATTTATTTGCTTTTTAACCATTAACTCAGATATGCCTTCTTGCATGGATAGGCCTTAACCCACTGAGACTAGGAAAGTAATGTATGAATGCCCTGTTCAGAAATCTTGTCACAAAAAAGTCAGTTACTAGGCCTACCTGTTCATCCATAACCCCATTTTGAATTTTTGGAAAAAAAAATAATCTTTATTACTATTACTTTTTGTTAACATCATCACAATAATAATGTTAATATTGATTACTAAAATTGTTTGCTAACATGATAATAATAATCAAGGAAATATTGAAAATAAGAATGTTGATATGATAATAGTATTAGGAAAACATTTCCTAAAAAATGGATGGGGGTAAACCGGTGTGTAAATAAAATTGACAAAGCCTATTGTTAAGGCAAAACTAACATGGAAATGGTTTGCTTATACTACATGAAGTAAATGTCTGTGCCTATGATTAACCAAAATCGTCAATAAGGCCTTCTACCCGGATGTTTTAACACATGCTGTCATGTATAGATGGATGACCCTGTCAGGTACCATCATCCCCATATATATGATGACACGGGCTTTGCCCAGTAAGCAGGCAAAGTCCAACAGGAACTACTCAGTTGTGTGGATGGGGCCTAGGATCTTTAATGAAAATGTTCACTGTTTTAAAGTACTGAAATATTAGAAGAGACTGTAGAAAAAGGCCATAGTTTGTAATCAACTAGGAGGTTCTGAGTGATTCACAAATACGATGTATAAATTTTATTGTCCTTTTTTCCGCTAAATCATACAGTAATTACAAAATCCCTTAATCATTAAATTGAGGTTCTTCTTCATCATCATCTTTATCTTGGTACTCAAAGTCACGTGTTTTGACATCTGTATCTTCACCATACTGGAGTGCAAAATCTGTCTGTATCAGCAAGTCTGTCAAAGATTCCTCATTGTTTATATTTAGAGGAATGTAGCGGACTAATGAAAAGTCATCTATTACTTTACCCAGCGCATGTGTAAGTTTGTGGTACCTGAAAAAGAAGTATTTTATTAGATTATCAACTGTGAAATTTTACATCTTCACGACAGATATTTTTAGAGGTATTAATCATGTGTAAAAATACAACCACAAACTGAAAGTTTACGGTAAAATGATGTGCAATACGTAAATCAGTGTTGTGCTGATTGTCAAAATTACACCTCAAAAAGGTCAGCTTTTCATTCTTGTTAGCTAGAACGTTTGTTTATTAAGGTAAAAAGGGTTGGTGAATGATACACACATAACACTGTGACACAATGAAGAACAGTGGATATTTACAGTACGTATCAAGCCACAGATTGATACATACCTTGTGTATATCACTTACTTTTTATTAAACTTGGAAACTGAATGATCTGATGTCAAAAGTTCATGTACTTCTGGTTCCAAGAACATCTCCAGTTGCTCCTTTGCTGATTTATTTAACAAGTCCATTTTTGTCAGGACATTAATGTGAGGGACCTGAAGAGCAGAAACAAAGATTTAAAGATTTTTTTTCACATTTAGTTTTAATTCCATTTGTTACAATGGATATTCTTTGCTACGACATGCAGTCTGTTTTATTTTTTATTTCAAAATCTCCCCCTGTGTACAAGGCATTGCCAGGGATACCATCCACTGGCAGCACACAGGATTGAATGTAGGTCGGCAAGATTGCTTGATGAAGACACTAATTGTTGCACCACACAGCATACATAAATCTCCATCAAATAAGGGAAACTATCAATGACAAAATTCTTGATTTAATATGTTGAGAAAATGTAGATGCAACATGAAAAGATTAGTGAAGACAAATCTTTCATCGTTATCTTGTGACAAACAAAAAACAACATACAAATCAAAAGCCACATCAAGCACTAAGCTGTGACAAAAAAGCATATTTCTATTTTCACAACACTGAATACTAAAATGATCGAGACTATTTTACACACATAAAGTAACATGGATTAAAAATAAGTTATATCCGTACAAATAGGTATATGCTGTACATGAGTATATAAAGGTATACAAAAAAGACCTCACCTCTAGTTGTACCATTGTTGCTAAAGCAGCCAGTGAACCAGAAAGAAATTTTGCGGCATCGACCATGTACACAGAATCCAGTACAAACACAGCACATACACGAAAATCCCATGACTGAAGGTGTTGAATTAATCTGAATAAAGAGAGATAAAGGGGCATATTCAATTTATATGTAATAATCAATGTGATTTGATGTTTTATATCCTTTGACATTTAACACATTTTATCCTAATCGTTAACTCATTTTTACCCTTAATGCCAAAATGCTTTACCATAGTGCTGTAAGACCTTTGATGTCTAGCACATGTATTTGTTTCAACCATTAACCATTAAGGTTTATATTTCAGATTTATATTTGTAATATACAATGTATTTTCCACTAAGAAGAAATCTTGGATAAAGTATGGATAAAATAGTTATATATGAACTTAAGCTGTAGACCATCAAATGCCAAATAATTTCAAGCATACTGAAGCCTGTAAGGGGGGTATGGATAAAATCCATAAAATTGCCACAAGCAATTGTCTTCTCTTTTTTTTTTGCACTTTCTTTGACTGGGTACCCCTTCCACAAAAGAAAAAAAAATATATAAATGAATAAATAAACAGTAAAAATAAAGAGACTTAGGATGCTCACCTTTTGTTTGGGTACTGCTAAAATTTGAGCAAAATACAGATATGATGACATTACAATGGAAATAGTCTGCCTATGCTACATAATTCACTTCTTTTATTTAGTGCTTTAATACTACTAAGCTTTTAGCAGTACTCAGACTCAAACAGAGGACAAGAATCCCCAGATGTTTTCTTAATCTATTTTATATATTTTATTCCATATTTGATGAATACCTACATGCTAAAAAATGCCATCTTTAAAATATTTTCTTGTATATTGCACAAACTAAACTGAATGGTACAGATGCAGAATGTTCTCTGTCTCTGTCGATCTGTCTCTGTCTCTGTCTCTGTCTCTGTCTGTCTGTCTGTCTGTCTCTCTCTCTTTTTTTTTTTTGGAGGGGAGGGAGGGATAGTGGTTCCCCCACTGAAGACTTGGTCTCAAAAATGTGCAATTTCAATACCAATAAATATCAAACATTTAGGGAATAAATTGATTTACCAAATTTATTCCCCAATCCTACATGGGAGATTTATTTCTTTTGACAATATTGCAGAATCAATGAGAAAGGAAAAGAAGAAAAATCTTCATCTCTTTACACTTATAATACTCACGTTTTCATAACATCCATGTGTGTGTATAGTTCAATCTGTCCTGGGCAATCAAACAAAATGCAGTCATCGTCATAGTCTCCCAGCTGCTCCTATGGCAGGAAATATAATAAAAGGCATTAAATACATCTTATGTGCACCACATTCTATTAATGAAAACATTGGGTTTTCAAGTATAAATACATGTATGTTCTCTTTTCTATGGAAGAAGAAGAAGAAGAAGAAAGCTCTGAATGCATGTTTCATAAACAATGGACTGGATAAAATATACATGAAGAAATACCAGAGTTTGAATGAATATTGCACACATAAAAATGAGATGATGATGATGATGATGGATAAGGAGAAATAAAAAAGGAAGAAAGAAATAAAGAAAGAAAAAAAGTAAACAGAAAACTGCTAATAAGAAGAGGGGGGGGAAATCTGCATGCTTCCTCGAAATTGTTATAAATATAAGATAGTAGATGGATATATATATATATATATATATATATATATATATATATATATATATATATATATATATATATATATATATATATATATATATATATATATATATATATATATATATATATATACAACAATGAAAAGGATTTTGATTTATAAGAATATAAGTATTCCAGGTTTACAGTAGTAATATATACTGTATTTTCTATTTTAGAGATGATTTTAAATACCTAAACAAACAATGTGAATGCAACCCTAGAACTTCGAACTTGGCATTGATTACTTTTAATCAACTCCTTGGATCCGGATGGTTCACTGACAGTGTATGGACCAAAATATGGGCATTAGGTTTACTTAAGTGGACAATCTGATGGGTGTGTGGCACCCACAAACACTCTTGTATGGTGACAAGATTCCATGTCTTTGCAATGTTACTTTCTCTTTTTCTGCAAAAGCCCTTTTATTTATTATTTATTCATTTTTTGCCATTTTCTAGCATCCATTTTTCATTTGATTTGCCTTATCCAAATAGTAAAAGCCTGTTTTCTTGCACAGCCTCCATATCATCTCTCTAGGTTGTAATTAACACAGTGCAATAATAAAATTTATAAACATTTTCCTACAAAGTCTGGGCTCTGTCATCTCACTTGCATTGTTTACCTTAATAGTGGTAACTTTGGTCTGAGAAGTAGAATCAGCGGCAGGCAAACTACTGGCTACACAGCCAATTCCACTTGCAAAGCCGTTGTTTTGCTAAAAATCTGCCCACTTCAGATACCACTTCTCCGGTATATCTGCCAGTCAGGCCTACTCATCTGGCCATAACTAATATAAACTTAAAAGTCTACAGAAATATATTTATGAAGTTCATAGATTATTCATGAAATGACTGACAAAATAACAGACAAACAAAAAAGTGACTACAAAGCTTAGATATGAAAAGCCTTGTCTCTGTTTTTCCTCTTCAAAGTGAATCAATACACATATAAAATGAACAAAAACAATGCTAACAACCATTGATATGATGTTAATAAAAACAAAAATTCTAAACCTACCCTTAGCCACTCTAATCCATCTGGCTCCATCAGATACTCCATGCAGAACACTAGCCCTCCATTGGGGCCGAAGTCCATGTCGTCTGCTTGCATGACATCATCCAGCTGAATGAGGTCACGGACATCCACCAAAGCACCATAGTTGAAGGCTTCAGCAGCTGGGTCAAGGTTGACAACACTGAAAAATTATTTTATACAATGTTCACATTTCATAGGATTTAAAATGACAACAAATCAATTCCACTAAAGTCTGATCTAGCTTTTATGCCATTTGTAACATTCAGAAATATGTCTAAAGTACTAATTATCTGATTTCCCTTTGCATTAACCCCTCAGTAGCAGGCAACTGAGCACAATGCAACATGCACAAAAAGGTCTATTTTTGACATATTCAAATTTAATGAAAGCATGTTTTTTTCATATAAAAATAACTGGCAATGGAAGAGGAAGAAAGAAAATCTTGGCAGGAGTTCAGGTCACTGGAGGCAATTTAATTCTAGATTTTTACTCTTCCTGTCAAACCAGAAACCAAGGAAGGATGGCAGACAGGAGGTAAGGGCTGCCTGTGTGCATCTATACCAATACACTATTTCTGGTATCTTAATTCTGGCTAAGACTTAAAACATGCTTGTGAAACTACAAAGATAACATTTACTATTGTGAATTGATCAATAAATCCTCTCTATTGATTAATATCTTCTATTGAACAAGTCAATATAAGTTTCAAATGCAAGTACTCACTTTATCACTCTGTTGCAGGTTTCGGCATGTCTCTGAAGAACTTCACAGTATGTTGACTTGCCTGAGCCTGCCGGGCCCAGGACCAGATGTGCATACCTCATTTTTAATCAAAGTATCACCTGTTAATAGAGATCAAAACAAAATTTAGTATTCCACTAGCTGTAACTGGTTATTAGATATTCAGCTTGTAAAAGTGTTATACCTATCAGGGAACCCATCCCCAGGTGCCCTAACCTGGGTGTGTTCGCATATTGGGGGTTCCATTAAGTAACCCCTACTCAGGGGGGACTTACCCATTGGGGGGTGGCTCCCAACCCCCCAATAGATTTCATTCATACTTAACCCCCCCCCCCCCCCGACCCCAAAGCTTCACCTCTATTGATTTGGATGAAAGATGTGCATGCAAAAAGTTTCTGGCATTGGAACATTCATAAATTTAAATAAAGCTGGCATGGTTGACCATACATTTTATACTATAGCTTAACAGGACCCCAATACATTTCATTCATAACCCCCCCTGGACCCCAAAGCTTCACCTCTATTGATTTGGGTGAGAACACCACAATGCACAAGATTCACTAAACACAAATCAAAATACCTTTAGAATCTGATTGCTAATGCTAAGAAGCCAATGTCACAATTCTCTGATATTCCCATATAGATATTATTAAATCTTGCCAAAATATCAATTCTAGCTGCATAAGGATGGACAGTCTCTGCCTGGCGCTAAGCAACGTACATTTTTTCCATTTACTGGTAAATATGAGGCCGCTGAAGCTTAAACTCTATTTCTTCCACTCATTTCCCTCTGTCTACGTGTGTTGGTGTCTTCAACTTACAAAAGGAAAAAGATATCTCAACATTTACCAAACAGAATTCCATTTCCTGCACCTATTTACTTTTATGTTCTCAGAAATCAAGCTCAAATTGCATAATGCTTCGTAATATCTCCTAGTCATTAAAACCATAAGACAAGACTACCAACAACTAGAACATATACCTCGTACGGCATAATACACATCACATGATAGTATCAATTAGCAACACACTATTATAATCAGAATAATGTGAACTAGACACACGACTGAAAAACACACAAATCCACAAATATAACCAACTTCTCCTCTAAATACAAAGACAACATCAACCATACCACACTCACAACAATCTGTTACGTCTATAAACCCTCTGGGATGCAATAATAACGAAAAATTAACGAATGAGATATAAATAATGAGAAAAGAAACTCGCACAATCCCACATGGAACGTGTTCGGGCTTGTTCGGATTTGTAAACAATGCGTTCGGACGCGTGCATTCTGATTTGCTTAATCACCGTGCCTCTAACTTGTCTTTGGCCTCGAATATATATATATATATAGATAGTCTTTGCTAATAACGAAGATGATGATTGTGATGATAATGATAGAGTTGCTAATAACTACTAATCTCAAAAGAATAACAAAAGACTATATACGATATATATATATTATATATTACTCACCGTGCCTCTAACTTGTCTTTGGCCTCGAATATATATATATATATAGATAGTCTTTGCTAATAACGAAGATGATGATTGTGATGATAATGATATCATAAAACTGATAATAATGATAACTGGTAATGATGATATTGATAAATATGATAGTAAACATGAACTTAAACATGATAATAATAATCATAATCATAATAATAACAATAATAATAGTAATGAGGATGATAATTGTCATTATAATAACAATAATAAGGATATTGATAATAAGAATAATGATAATGTTAATATCATCATCATTACTATTCCCATCATCATCTTTATTACTGTTGTTGTTGTTATTATCACTGCTACCACAATTTCTATTATAATCCTCATCATCTTTATCACTATTACTGTTACTATTATCACAAGTATTAATATCATTATTATTTTCAACATTGTAGTTTTTATTATTACCAATGTTACCATCATTGTCACCATTATTTTATCTACATCATTATCCTGATTAATGTCATTATCATTATTATTGTCGTTATTAACATTTTTTAGTATCCTTATCCCTACCATCATTATCGACAGCGTCATTATCATCATCTTCATTATTACGGTTGTTATTATCATTATCTTTGTTATACCATCATTATCTTTATTTATTCTTGTGACTATTGTTATTGTTATTTTTGTATATTATTATCATTATTATTATCATAACCATTATTATTATTATCATTATTATTATCATAACCATTATTATTATTATAATTATCATTATATTACGACTATCGTTAATATCAAGCTCTAAACTCATACTTATTTAGACCTTGACTAATGTCGTTATCTTTATCATAACTATTATATTCATTATTGCCTCGATTTCTATCACCATCATTGTCAACATCATTATGACCAAAGTATAGGTTACAGAACCAGATGATCACACTTTCCCAAGCCACCGTCTGCCTCTTTCTTATTATTGTACGAGTTCAGCTTCCACCTTAGGACTCTGGGGCCGGTTTATCAATCGCGTTAAGGCGCCATATCTCCTTAATAAGGCGCCTTAACTTACTGCCGAGCGATCTTACAGCCCATACACAGAGCAAGGGACCCGCCATATTGGTACGAGTGAAGGCGCCTTAGGTTAGGCAGGGGGAGAGCAGCTTTTAGCGCTTCACGGTGGGCGGGAAATCAACTTTTTCGCTCTTAAACAAGGGAAATACAGCAGGACGTGGTTATGGCCTCCTGCTCGCTTTAACTTCAGGCTTCCTGATCGCTTAACTTCAGGCTCTTTTGAGAATCCGATCCCGTGATGCACTGTGCTCATACCTTCCCACGTTAGATATTTTACCATTTCCTGTTTTCTTACCACGTGACAATTGGCACGGGTGAGAATTTGGGGATTACTTTTGTGCAAGTGCCACGAGGTAACGATTGGGTCGACTGGGTGAAAGGGTAGTACAAAAGGTTAGAAAAATGATTTCAACTTTTATTAACTCGTTACAACAGTTACAAGATGACTCGCCAGTAGCCATTTTGTTACCTATAACTTGGAACTCACGATCCAAAAACTATAATCACAGTATATACTTTGCTAAAATATACGTATGTCATCCAACTATTTCGATGACAGCTATAGGTCTTTGTGAACGCTCGTATTTCATGTGTAAGAAAAATAGTCGTACAATTTTAATGAATCACTCTTCGTACAACAAAATCTAAACTTTGTAGATTTCTGTAACACATTTTGATTATCATATCTTAGTCGTCTCATCACTTCCAGTATTTTTTTTTTTCTTTAATCTCTCTCCTATCCATATTCCAAACACCGTCTAAGATAATGAATCAATGTAGGTTTATTTTCTATGATATGCACAAATCCCATCTCATCCTCGCATTCCCTTCTCCTTCCCCCTTTCCTCTCCCTTCATCCTTCCCTCCTCTTCTCTTTCCCAGCCCCTCTCCTCCCTTCTCCCCCTCCTCCTCCTCTCTTCTCCATCCACTCTCCCTCTCCATCCTCTCCTCTCCTTTCCTCCCTCTCCTCCTCCCTCGCCTCCCTCCCTCTCCTTCTCCCCCACTCTCCTCTCCTCTCCTTTCCCCTCTCCTCTCCCCAGTCCCCCTCTCCCTTTCTCTCCTCTCTCCCAGTCCCTCCCTTCTCTTCTCTACCCCCCCTCTCCCTCCCCTCCTCTCCTCCTCCCTTCTCCCCCCACTCTCCCTCCCCTCCCTTCCTCTCCTTCTCCCCCACCCCCCCTCTCTCCTCTCCCTCTCACCCCCTCTCCCTTCTCCCTTCTCCCTCTCCCTCTCTTTCTCCCCCTCTCCCTCTCCTCTCCTTCTTCTCCTCTCCCTCCCCTCTCCTTCTCTTCTCCCTCTTCTCCCCCCATCTCCTCTCCCTTCTCCCCTTCTCCCCTCCTGTCTCTCTCCTCCTCTACCCCCCCTCTCCTCCTTCCTTCCCCAGCTCCCCTCCCCTCTCCCTTCTCTCCCCCTTCCCTTCTACCTTTCTCCCTCCTTCTCCTACCCCCATGCGAGGCGGCGCCGTGAGCTTCTCCAGTTCGTCGAAGGAGTTGAATTCCTCCTCAAGATTGTCCAAGAGTCCTTCGCGGAAAACTTCCTCTCCTGCGGCCTGGGACACATCTTTTCCTGGGGGGGGGGGGGGGGGAAGGGGAGGAGGAAAGGGGGGTGGAGAATAACATCAGTAAAGAACAGCAAAACACTCGAAACTGTTGTGTCATTTCAACTTGGTTTGTGCTTGGAGGGTTTCTACAATAGTATCACTTTCTTCGATAAATCTAGTTTGTGTATTGTGGGGTTTTCTATCATCTATAATATTGAGACTAAAAACAATAATAATGATAGTGAGGATGATAACCATGATGCTTCCAACATTAACAAGTATGATATCAATAATGACAATTCTAATGACAATGACAAGATTAATCAACAGCAGAAAAACAATTAAAAAAAACAGGTCAATAAAAAAACAGTAGCACTTTTTCCGTCATTTTTTTTTTACAATTTTCTGAAAATTTTTCCAATTTTGAGCGAATTGTCGATTTCCTAGTCATTGTCGATTCTCCAGTCAGACGATAATGATCGTTTCCGTCTGAAAACCTTTCCGTCAACTTTTTCAGCCAAGCAAAGTCAAATCAAGAGTTATATTCGAGAATGTTTGTATTTATGTTAAATAAAATTGTCAAAAAAATGACGGAAAAAGTGCTAGTGTGACACGGCCTTCACGTGACCAAGGCTCCCTCTCTTACCTGTAGGATCTTGAAAGCATAGTTCTTGGACAGAGCATTTTCTTGGAGGTTCCGGTGGTAGTTGAACACCAGGACCTCCCACGAGATCTCGGAAAGGATCTTCTCCTCCTTGAGGTCGTCTGCCCAGTCCTCGCCCTGTCGGAAGGCGGGGAGAAAGATATATGGAACGGTGAATCTGGTGCAATGGTACGATGATTATATACTCTATCTATCTATTATATATATATGTACATAATATATATATATATATATATATATATATATATATATATATATATATATATATATATATATATATATATGCTGGAAAATGATTCCATGCCAGTATAGAATAAAAAGAAAGAAAAAAAGAAAGAACAGAACTCTCTCTTAGAAAACGAAACAAAACTGAACGCGCAAAACGTCCCTCGATAAACACGGACGAAAAAGCGTCCTTGCAAGACCAATAACCCGGCACCAAAGCAAGAAGGGTCTCACCTCCAGCACGTGCGCCAACAGAGCTCCTTCGCCACCGGTTCGAGGACGAGCTGCTCCTCTCTCTTCTTGAGGTCGAGGAACTCCTGGTGGGGGAGAGAGCGCCCCGTGTCGTAGAGGAGCGACCAGGCGATGAAGTAGACCTGCTGCTGCACCTCGGGCATCACGAGCACCTCCTCGATCAGGCCGGCGATGACTTGGTCCTCCTCCTCCTGCCGGGGGAGGAGCAGGGGTTCGTTCAATATATATATATATATATATATATATATATATTATATTATATATATATAATATATATATATATATATATATATATATATATATATATATATATATATATATCTGTGTGTGTGTGTGTGTGTGTGTGTGTGTGTGGTGTGTGTGTGTATGTGTTGTATATGTACATATACAAATACAAACACTCACCAGTCCCGATATAATTCGTGCCTCCTTCACACTTGTCCTCCTATATTCTTCCACCTTTCTATCTGTCTCCTCTCTCTAACCTCCCCTTCCCACCTCCGCACCCTCTCAACACCCCTTCCTCTCACTCCCCCTCCTCCACCTCCTCTCCTGCCTCCCCACATCCCACCATCCCTCTCCTGCCCTCTCCCACCATCCCTTTCCTGCCCCCACCATCCTCTCCTGCCTCCCCCCCCTCCCACCCCTCCCTCCCACCATCCCTCTCCTGCCACCCTCCCCCCTCCCCCCTCCCTCCCTGCCCTCTCCTCCCCCTCCTCCCACCATCCTCTCCTCCCCCACCTCCCACCACCTCCCACCATTCTCTCCACCATCCCTCTCCTGCCCCCCATCCCTCCCCCTCCACCATCCCTCTCCCCCCACTCCACCATCCCTCTCCCCCCCCCCTCCCACCATCCCCCACCCGGACATCACCTGGTACTTGCTCTCCTGAAGAACCACCGAGGCCGTGGCGACGATCTCCTCCATGATGGTGTCGTTGACGAGGTTTCGATCAGCGCGTCCTGGAGTCTCGAGTCCCGGTTGAATATCTGCGCCGAGGATGGGAATACGTATAAATGAGAAGCTGGAAGTGATATTGAGCGTTTTTGCGTGATAAAGAGAAGAAGAGAAAAAGTCACTCGCAAGTTACCATGATTGAAAAATGGATGAAAATACTATGACTCCTGGAAAAAAAAAGATAATTTGTGATCCCTTCCTCTTATCCGTGATAAAAAGAAGAGAAAAACGCACTCGCAAGTTACCGTGATTAAAAAAATGGATGAAAATACTATGACTACTGGAAAAAAAGATATTTGACATCCCTTCCTCCTCCTTCCATCTTCCATTCTTCCATTCCCCCCCTTCCCCCTTCCTTCCATTCCCCTCCCTCTCCCCCTCCTCCTTCCATTCCCCTCCCTCTCCCCCCTCCTGACCTCTGCCTGCGCCTTGAACTTGCGCTTCTCGTCAGTCTTCCAGGGGACTTCGGCGAGGGCGGGGAAGGCCACCTCGCCCGTCGTGTAGTAGGGGAGAGGGTGCTCCTCGTCTCCATCTAGGACGGGCAGGAACACCACTCTGAGGAGGGGAGAAAAAACGCAATGTTCATGTACTTTATATCAAAGACTATATGGGTTTTTGGTTTGTATACTATCAAACTCAATGACGGGGGAAGTTCGTATTTGTGTTTAATTGGTAGGAATGTTTTTTTTATTTTGTTTTACTGGAAAATGTGTGTGTGTTTGGGCGTGTTTCCTTCGTCCATCCAGAGATATTTAACTCACGAAAACTCAAAATAATCCTACATACAAAACCTATAACTACACATACACACATTCTATCTATCCACACATACAGATTCACTTCATTCATGAATATAGCAGCACCATTGAAATAAAACATAAATACACATTCTCTCTGTCCACACATACAAATTTACTTCATTCATGAACATAACAGCACCATTGAAATAAAACATAAATACACATTCTCTCTGTCCACACATACAAATTTACTTCATTCATGAATATAACAGCACCGCTGAAATAAAACATAAATACACATTCTCTCTGTCCACACATACAAATTTACTACATTCATGAATATAACACCACCGCTGAAGTAAGAAATAAAGCTCGCATCATTCACAAGAATCCACACTTACTTCTCGCGAGACTGGTGGTGAGATTTGTGTTTGTCTTGGAGCTTGGAGTAGTTGGCGCCACGCAGGTCCTGGTGGGCCGCCCTACGACCCTGGCTGCGCCGACTCGAGCCTGAAGAAGAGGTCGTCATTAACGTCAAATGCCTGACTTG